ATTAATACCAATGGAATTATAAATAAAGGTTATGAAAGAAGCCATATTTTTATGCAAATCATGGTTGGCTTCAAAGATTCAAACAAAGACATTCTTTAAATAATAAAGAATGTCTTAATAATAAGATTGAAAGGTAAACAAGCACCTGATGTGGCGCAACAATATCCAGCAAACTAGCCAGGTCTTAAATGCTGATGAGCACAGGTTGTTTTGGAAATACTGTCAGAAAGATTCTTTTGGGGAAAAGCTTATTATTTAAAACTTATAATATGGATCACCTAATAACGCAACGAAATGTCATATAACTATGCTTTTCTGCAGCAACGACCATATAATGAAACCATTATTTATTAATAAATCAAAAACCTCACTTTCAAAAACCTTGTTTATTGGATGGTTAATAAAAAGGCTGCATTATTGGTGTAATGGATAAAATAACGGGAAATTTTTCCAGGATAACTGGATTCAAAATGGGAAATACATTCTTCCATGCCGTCTAGTGCGCTGATGATGTTGTCCTTATTGCAGATTCTTACTACATGCTTCTAACACTAAAGAAAAAGAATTAAATATGCTCATCAACACCGACAAAACCAAATGCTTAGTAACATCCAAGGAACTGATAAGATGTAAGACCGACTCCAAGACTGTGGAATAAGTGAATCGCGTCAATATTTGGTGGCAGAAATAACAAGCCACGGATTAACGAAGTGAGAGAGCCAACAATGAAAGCTGCTCGATTTTCGAGATGCCTACGAGAGATTGTTTGATAGAACAAATACCTTCATGGCTCTCTATTCAATGGCTATAAGAGAGATCAGGAGTCTACAACTGATGAGAACAGTCGAGATGAAAAAGAAGTATACAAGGCAGTATACACGACAGATTCATTAAATTGGAAAAATCAATAACCTAGTCGGAAAAAAATTACAGACAAGACCACCAAAACGATGACGAGAATGTTGGACCTCATCTTCCGTGGAAATTTTAGATTTTGGCAATGAACAGGCTGTAGGCTACCATTATGGATATCCACATTAGAAAAAAGAAGAAACAGGAACATCTCAACCTTCATGTTTCCTTTGCGCATCTCTGTGAGAGAATGACCATTTGCAGTATTACCAGTATGTGTATAAATGTTAATTCACTTTATTTCGTAATGCTTTCGCCGTGTGCTAGTAGTATTATTATTAATTTTGTCAGGTTTTCACAATGTATTATAGGTTAGGTGGTAGAGCAGTCTCCGGACTGAACCTCACCTATACAGCAAATCATGTTAATTGTATTATTGTTATATGCAAAATAAAGGCCTTTATTATTATTATTATTATTACTATTATTAATGTGAAATTTGTTTCAAAGAAATGTTAATAAATGTTTATCCAAATATGAGGAGGCTTCTAAACATTTTATCAGAAACCAAACACAACGGTTAATTAGAGACTTCATTGTAAAATCTGATGATTATCTGTGATCTGATGACATCTTTATGATTTCATTACAAGGTGATAGGACTCTCTCTCCTATGGCGGTGCAGTCCAACCATGCCCGCTCTCAATTTTTGCTACTACTTTTTATTAAGCTACTCAATCCATACAGCAACTGCTCCAGGCAGGGTTCTTAAAAGACTGTAGGCACCAATTTTAATTTATTCTGTTGGCGTAGCATTAACGTCAACGTTAAACAGTTAATTTACCAAAGGGATTGAATTTACATATCATCGGCTCCATATGTTCAGTATGAATTAAATATTGTTTACGTCACAGAGAATCCTTTAAACATAACGACTCCAATGAATGGCTTCGACTTTGTTTGCAGACATGTATTCCAAAGTAATGATATATAGATTGGCTCCTTATAGTTCCATATTAAATACAATAGAACACATTTAAGTGTATTCAAAGTGAAAAATCAATTTCACCTCATAATACGGTTTTAACGCGAGACTATCCTAACGGAATGGAACTATAAAACAAAACTTAGATGAGACTACGTTTCATTGAAAATATAATCGATGTTGCAATGGGAAGGATTCATGATAATAGGTCTTGGTACATGTATTATAATCATACACAGAGATATTACCCAGTTGTCACTTTATGTTCTGAACTTAAAGTTTGTTTTCTGAAATTGTAGTGGAAATGGTATTAATTTACAAAACGTAAATGAGTTCAAGTTCAGGAACAAAAAGTATGTCTTGTACCTATGTAACTTTATATTGTGGTGTTAAATTTTCGTTTTCTGAAATTGAACTTGACATATTTTTGAAGCAAAAAAAAAAGGTGAAAGATGTGAAAACTGCTACAGCCATGCAGTGGCTGTCACTAAAATAAAGCAAATCTGTACATATTGTTGTATATTAGTTTTTTTTAATCTTTATTGGGTTAATGTTTGGCACATTCATTTATTATCACCTTTTTCCAATATTTACGTAACACAAAGTAATTAACAAAACTAATTTATTGCTTTTACGTCGTGTTGGCCCTTCCCTCTAGTCGTTTATTACTTGGAAATCATCCCATGTGTATTGGTCACCATAACGACCGTGCTAAAAAAATTTACTTTTCTATATTCCACAAAATCCAAAAATTTATCGAAATGTCTCAGTATAAGATAACATTTTAATATCGGTCATTTGGTAGCTACGTTGAAAAAAACTATTGCTTTATCACAAAATTAACAATCTAAAATACAGGAGGTTGAATAATTCTCGGAAAAAATGGTTTCTGATATTATTGTTATGAATTTTATTACATGAACCTTGTAGATCATTGATATAACATTACTGAATGCGATTTTTGCAATTACTTTAATTTTATTAAGAAAATTACCATGATTAATTAATAGCTGCAGTTTTATGATGAGAGCAAATGTAATGATTTAGGAATTATGTAATCAGTAGATACGCAGTGAGCATATATGTAGTTAGTGTAAAATCTAAGAGTTAACAATTTTTTCTTATTCTATTTTTGTAATGAATTATAGTGAACTGTGTAATTAAAAATATTGGTCAATACTTTCATTTTAGACTATTAGGATATTATCACCCATAGAATAGATATCCTTGCTAATGATAGCTTACTAAAGATGGAATAACATTCTAAAAACAAGGTACTTTCAAGATTGTGAACATAAATATCAGAAATTATACTCCATGTGGGTGGCCATTGGCGAATCATCTTTCCTCTTGTACATTGTATCATTAAACATGAAACTTTTGTTTGTAGATATGAGTGAGAATTTCCAAGACACGTAGAAGGTCATAATTCTCAACCTCAATTAGGATTTTGGAGTGTTGGCGGTACTTCTAATCGGCTTGATGGAACGATCTTCTTTATGCGATTTAATAAGACATTTAATGGATAACTGTTTGGTGGGAATGAAATTTTCGCAACTTCATTGCATGCATGAACTAGTTGCAAAGTAGCATAACACAGGTCTTGCTTTTTGAACATTGCTGCACATTCACATCGAACATTACATTCATGCCACGCATGTTTATATTTTGTGCTTCCAGAAAGGTACCTACTTCAAATTAGTAGACGAAATTATTGTGAAATTTTTGTATTCACTTTTAATTTCGCCAGAATATTATGCAGTACATATACTTTTCAAGAAAAAATTGTCTTTGTCAAATATATCTTTAGAGCCCTTAGAGCACCACATTGCTGATTTGCTATACATAACACAACTATATTTTAATTCTTTCTACAGCCATTAGTGCCATTTCCTTTGCATTCAATTTATTCATAGACCACTTAGAGAACTGCAACTTAGCAAAGAACATCCTGGTACGGTAAAATTAAGGAGACAGCATACAATGCCCCACTGAAATAATTTATCATCCTGTCTACAAAAAAATAAACCGTCTCGGAATTCCAATGACGCACCAAGCTCCTCATTAATTAATTCACCACGGAAAAGCTACGACCAACTTCAAGTATTGAATCAGGTTAATTTTAGATAAATAAAATTTTTTATGCGTAACAAATGTTAATATAGCAAAAATGATATTTGATTGACTAAATGTTAAGTAGATTTATTTTATTTTGTCTTAATTTTGTAGTGAACATTTCAAAAACAACTTTGTTGTTATAACTAAAATTAAAAACATAACAAGCATGTTTATAATTAAACATCACCCCAATTACTCAATAAAAACATCTAATTAGATACTACTTCTTTAATCTAAAACACGATAAGACGATTTGAAAACATAAAACAATCTTTAAAAATAATTTTGACGACAGTTTTCATGAGATGTTGCGTAAGATAATAATAAAATAACCCGATGTGCAACTTAATTAAACTCATTAATTTCGTGCTATCATCTATAACACGATTTTTATAAGAAGTATTCAAGCCGAAGCTTAACAGAAAAAAGACCAAAACGAGTTAATTTAGTAGTCAATGACCCCTTCCCTCTTATAACTAGATTAATAAGTTAATGGCAATCCGGCGAGCGTATGATTCATGAAAAGAGCCCTTCGTTTCGATTACGTCATCGGAAAATCGGGGGACTGAAATAGATGCTGACAAAAGAAAAGGTTATCTGCGTAATTTGGGGGGTTTTCTGTGTCAAGCAATAAAGAAAAATGTTAATGATTTATGATTTATCAGAATTAAAAAGATATTACTGAGCATAGGCAACCGATTTAACTTATGATATCTATAAACAAATCTGAAATTATATATTTTCAGGCTGATCAGTAAATTTTAAACAAATTAATTTGATAATTACAATTATTTTTAATTATATCTAATTTTGAATTAAATTAATAATATTTACTTATATTTCATAAACAAATCATAGGTGTCATTTAGGTTGCCTACATTCTTATACAATAAGAAAATAAACATTTTTAACTAAAAAAAAGATTAACAATTATAAGTTTGAATGAATCATTAAAGTATACATATTAACATACATTTATAAATATAATTAAAAGCAAATATTTCAACAGTAACTTTAAATTTTTTCAAAAAAATAAAGTTGGTAACACATAAAGCTAATTTAAACATCAACTTGACATACCTCAACTTACTTTTAAAGTTTTTACGTAAATTTTTCAATGAATTTATATAATATACATTACGCCTACATCTAATTAATGCCCTAAAACTCATCTCGACCACTTGGAGTTGTATTTTCTGTGATTTTTTCGAGAAATAATACCCAAGAATGACGTGGACATAGATAAGTAAGGTTATGTACTTGCCAAACTAGAATACTTTTCCTTGTTAATCTCTCGCAACCAGCAAAAATGTTTTACGATATAACAGACACGCAAAGTAAGTTGTAATATGTTCTTTAATTGTACCAAAAATATTAACATTAATTAACAAATTTTTAGAAATTGGTGTTGGGTTGGCAGGTTTTGGGATGTTTTTCATATTCCTTGGGGTGTTGTTGATATTTGATAAAAGTTTACTGGCGTTGGGCAACGTAAGTAATCAAAAATCTCTTTTTTATTAATTTACTAGTTTCGTTTCTTTTTAGATATTGTTTATTGCAGGATTAGCTTGCGTCATAGGTTTGGAACGAACCTTTAGGTTCTTCTTTCAGCGGCACAAAGTAAAAGCTTCTGTCGCATTCTTCGGAGGAATAATCATAGTTTTAGTTGGTTGGCCTCTCATTGGCATGATCTTTGAATCTTATGGCTTTTTCTTATTATTTAGGTATGGTATTGCACGATATTGTAGATCTAAACTAAAAACTATGAGCGAATTCGTTAGAGTATTTTATTAAGATTTGATTTTTATTGTGATATTTTGACTGAATGTATTAATCTCAATGAGTAAAAAGACTTAAATATATGGATTTTTTTTTATTTTTCTTTAATGTTCTGTAAATTAAATAAATTTTGTTTTGCAGTGGATTTTTACCTGTCGCTGTTAACTTCTTAAGGAGGGTACCAATTTTAGGAACAATACTCAATTTTCCAGGAATCAGTGCTGTATGTTATTGATATTATGTTTTTAAAACGATTAATTTACTTTTTTTTATAGATTTTAGATAAATTAACAGGAGATTCTAGTAGAACAAGAGTGTGACAAGATACCGTATGTGTACAAATAGAAGTGTAGCTAGTTAATTATTGGTTATATTTGTTGTAAATGGTCATCAAAATCGATTTATGTTTTTTTTATCATTTATACCTTTCAAGCTAAATTTTTTCTTATCATATAATTGTAACAACGTAAAAAATATATGTTAAATATATCACTTAATTCTTATTTTTTGTATTTTAGGTGTAAACCTTAGCTATAATTAATCATAAACCATACTTAAGTTAAAGTATGTTTAATAAGTTGCCTATACCTTATTATATTATTAAATTCCAAAGAAATTGTATAACTAAAAGCACATATAAACACCAAGAGTTAAAGCCAGTGTTCGATGTTTTGTTTACGTGGTTTACGTTTTCACTCAGTCCAGAACGGGACGCGCTCAGATCGGACCATTCGGCCGACGATCACTGAGTATTTCCGAACAGGCCAATCTTTTTATAGTTTCTTTGAAAATAAATTTACCTGATTTAATGTTTATCCATGTTTACCGTACCCTAATAAATGAATAATTCTCTCCTAATTACTTAGCCTTACAAGCCTTGTTTACACAAGGCTTGTGTGAGCATTTGTGTTTTGGCTTTGGCTTTCAGACTATAAGATGCACCTTTTTACATAGAAAAATGGACTCAAGTTTGGGTGTGTTTTATGGTCTGAAGGTACCATTCAAATATATTTTTCAATAAATCGTCTCTAAATGTGAGGTGCGTCTTATAGTCCGAAAAATACGGTATATTTTTCTGAAACAAGATTTCATTTAAAATGATTTCAGTTTTCCTAAAGATAGAAAAAAAATTATTTTTAACTATAAATTGTCACAAAACCATTTCAGGATTCTTTTTAGTGCAGTTAGGCGACGTTGCGTTGTGGGTATTGTAACAATCCTACTGCACTACAATTTGAACAAGAATACAAAAAACTATTAGTACATACTGGCCCTTTAAAGGGCATGAGATTATACTAATATTTTAAATTGTTCATCAATACTCAAAAATAAAAATGATGAAATTGAAACACTGGACATTATCAGTATTGTTAAATACCCGGGTATTTATTTTCAACGGTAAATTTCCTGGATATATACCCGGGGGTATTTACCCAAGATGGGTATTTAGAGGTATTTATAAAATTTAATTTAAATTGAGTTGATGGCAGTTTTGCAAGCACTTCAACAAAGCAAAGTCGATTATTGATATACCAAACTTATTTATAACATCTCCAAGAATGCTACAATGACGGTAAAATTGCATGAAAGTACTGAAGAGAGTAGAAGTAGTAAAGTACTGATTGTGAGTAAAACAAGGCGATACACTGTTGAACCCAAATTGTTCATCACAGACCTCAGAGTGCATTTAAACAACTGGATTCGACCGAAAAATGTATAAACATTGATTGCAAATGCTTAAGTAATTTGCGCTACGCGGACGATATAATTCTTATATCGGATAGCCTTGGAGAGATTAAACTAATGCTGAACGACTTAAAGGAGGTGTGTGCAAGAGGCCGGCTAAATATCAACGAGGAGAAATCAAAATTTAGGATAAATCTTGTTCCCAGCTCTAACATCAACATTGGGGATAATGAGATTGAGAGCGTTGACAGCTATGTATATCTTGGCTATGAGGTTCATATATCGAGAGATAATCAAACAAGCGAACTAAACAGAAGGATCACACTCGTATGGGAAGGTAGCCTACGGGAAGCTTAGACATCTCAAAGAGAAAAGGCCAAGACACTTTAACATTAACGGTAGCCACTGCCAGGAGGGTCCAAGTAACGCAAAGGTAGATGGAAAGATCGATCCTGGGTCTAACTCTGAGGGACTACATACGAAATTAAGACCTATGAAGAAGAACTGGCGTAAATGATATGGTCAACATTGTGGCAAAGCTTAAGTGGAACTGGGCAAGTGGACAGAATGGTTGCTTGAGTGGAGACCGCGAGCGAACAGGCGAAATTGACGTCAAAAGAATGACTAACAATTGGATTCAGACAGCACAGAATAGAATCGAATGGAACAGAATAGGGGAGGTCTATGTCTATGGCCGGTTGTACCACCCTCCTGATAAACTATCTAAGAGATAATTACCATGGTTACAGCGGTTTTAAGCGCTCTCATTGGCTAAGGCCCACTTTTACCACCTCTTGATAAATTTATCCGATAGATAAATCCAGCTCTTAGCCAATGAGAGTGCTTAAAACCGCCGTAACCATGGCAACCATCCTNAAATGCAATTGCATGAGATTATACTAATATTTTAAATTGTCCATCAATACTCAAAAATAAAAATGATGAAATTGAAACACTGGACATTATAGACGTTGCGAACTTAGACAACATGCATTTAACTACCTAACTACTATTTTCTAAAAACTAATATTACTTGTCAATTTTGTTTAAATATAGTAGAAGGAACTGCTATAGATACAAAAGGCATATTGAATTTTGACTAAAGCTTCTGAATTTGTAGTCAAACTTTACTTAACTAGAGAAAAAATTATTAGAGACTATAAACGACAAAATGTATTATTCAATACCAAGAACAGACTTTTAAAGTTAAGTAATTCCATTTTATTAAGTTTACCTCAAAACATTTATGATCTTTTTGGAGATCATGCGTATGATGATGTTATTGATGGGGATGAAATACAACGTATAAAGTTAATAATAACAAAATGTATTAACGTAAAGTTATTTAATGAAACCAAGTTAATAAATCAAGAACCTAGGCGTTGACATATGTTAAACAAACAAATATTATTATCAAATCAATGAGAGTTATTTTAAAATTTGTATTTATGAGTTAACTTTTAAGTTTTTTGTTGTGTAATAAAAATTTTGAAACAAAATACCAATGTTATTTGCAAATACAATATTTTTACTGCAATGTTTACCATGAAAGTACTGTAAATTTCTAATTATATCATCTTTAATTTACTTGTAACAAATAAACTGTTCACAATTTATACGGTTACAATAATTATAAATTAATTAATTACAAAAGAACTTAAAGTTTATATTCCTTAATAAACATTTTAACCATGCTCAATAAAAAAAATAATGATGATATACATTTCTTCATGTACGCCACTGTGTATGTCTGATTTTACCGAAACTATACACGCCACTGTCAGCGGGACCAATACCAAAACAAACACTCGAACGTTGGCTTCAATCTCGTATACGGGCGGAGATAAGCAATGCTGCTTCTAGTTATACAATTTCTTTGTTAAATTTTCTAACTAACTATCTGGAGCATAGGGCCTCAATATGCATCTTCAATCGGCCTCCAGTCCGACTCCTGCATCATAGTCCTCTTCCATGTTGTCCTGGACCTTCCTTTTATCTGATTGCCCTGTGGATTTCAATTAAGTGACTGTTTCGCGACATTGTTGTGTCTATTCTTCTTGTCCAAGCCATTTGACTTCACATAAGTCCCAGCATAAATAGTTTATACATCTCCATTTCGAGAAGTGTTCTAATATTCCACGTTTCTATTATTGTCCGTTGCTTCATGACAAAGGTCGAAAACTGTAGATCCGTCCAGCTGTTTGTTAAGGTTTCGCTAATGAGTTTATTTAGGACCAGCGAAAGATCAGTCCACAAATCCCAGTTCTGGTGATAGGATTGCCATCTTCGCCTACCAGACAGGCTTAAAAGGACATGTAGCATTTCCTCTACACAGATATTATAATTATACCGCTGTTACTCAGTCCCCAGAGCCTCCCTTGTAATTCTATCATTTTCCACATTTTGCGTTGCCACCAAGTGCTTAATACCGACAGCAACATCGACATCATCGATCCAATAACTATTGCATCGATTTCGACTCGATATAATAATGTACGAAATCGGGCATTAGAGTGGTATAAGTTCGACTGTATTGAAACATAGAGTGATAGTCATGATAGTCGTGTTAGAGTTAGATGAAGATGTGGGAAAAACGTCGCAATATTGAATTTTCTGCTGCGAGGCATATGCATCAAACTGTGAGGATTATGGCATGGGGTGGTATAACTTATGGGTTTTGGGAAGGTTGTACCATTCTCCTGATAAACTATCTAAGGGATAATTACCATGGTTACAGCGGTTTTAAGCGCTCTCATTGGCTAAGTGCGCCAATTTATCTATCGGATAAATTTATCAAGAGGTGGCACAACCGGCCCTAAAGCCTCGTTTGATATTCTTCCAAGGCAACGTGAACGCACAGCAATATGTACATGAGGAGCATGTTTTTTCATTAGTTGGAAGATCTACTTTTACAGCAAAATAATGCCCAACCCCAAATAGCCTAACACTGCAAACTATACCGCAGTGTGCTATGGTGTATATAACCGATAGGGGTAAATTAGATATAAAATATAAGTAAAAAGTATGTTTATATTTTGTTCTTCCTTTTTAAAATGGTAATCAATTGCTACTTGCTAGTAGTTAGTTTTTTTTGCCGAATATGATCAAAAGAATCCTACCACTTTTTGATGTAGTGATTTTATATTACTTAGGCTATAATCATTTTCTCTATCTTTTTCTGCAGCGTTATTACCTCCGGAAAGAAACATCATCTGTTTCAATAATAAAGGAAGAGTTGGGATTATAAAACCTCTTAAGTTACTAAAATGTCGGCAATTTTAAGTAAGTTTACCATGAATTTNGCCCTAACTTTCCCATTTAGACGTTAATATATATACGGGGGTATTTACCCAAGATGGGTATTTAGAGGTATTTATAAAATTTTATTCAAATTGAGTTGATGGCAGTTTTGCAACCACTTCAAGAATGTAGAGTCGATTATCGATACACCAAACATATTTATAGCACTTACAAGAATGCTACAATGACGGTAAAATTGCATAAAAGTACCATTGGTCGTGGGGTAAGATAAGGTGATACAATGTTGAACCCAATTTGTTCATTACAATCCTGGAGACAGCATTTAAACAATTGAATTGGACCCGAAAAGCATAAACATTGATGGCAAATACCTAAGTAATTCCTCGTCTTCAATGTCTATTTCATCATCTTGCTCTCGTTTTTTTCCGAATCTGTTATATTTTTACTTGTATCATTTTTATACATAGGTACTGTTTGGGTATTTATCCTGGGCTGGGGTAAATACCCGGATAAATACCCATTTTATAAATACCTACCCGCCGGGTATTTACCCAACGCCAATCACTGGTTTTTTCACTAGTTGGAAGATCTACTTTTACAGCAAAATAATGCCCAACCCCAAATAGCCTAACACTGCAAACTATACCGCAGTGTGCTATGGTGTATATAACCGATAGGGGTAAATTAGATATAAAATATAAGTAAAAAGTATGTTTATATTTTGTTCTTCCTTTTTAAAATGGTAATCAATTGCTACTTGCTAGTAGTTAGTTTTTTTTGCCGAATATGATCAAAAGAATCCTACCACTTTTTGATGTAGTGATTTTATATTACTTAGGCTATAATCATTTTCTCTATCTTTTTCTGCAGCGTTATTACCTCCGGAAAGAAACATCATCTGTTTCAATAATAAAGGAAGAGTTGGGATTATAAAACCTCTTAAGTTACTAAAATGTCGGCAATTTTAAGTAAGTTTACCATGAATTTTGTAACAAACTTCGCGATTCTAATAATCTTATTACATCTGACTTACTGTAAGCATTTTAACTATTGCTTCAACATGTTTAGCATTTGGCTTCATTCCTCATATAGATTCTATCTGATCCATAAATTCAATATTAAACTTGGATTAAACTTACGAATTATTAAATGTTCTTGTTCTGAAGCTTTTATATTGCATTGTTATCGAAATTTATTTCTACACCCTTGGAGATACCAAATATTTCATACGATTTTTTTTCAGAAACCCTTTTAAGGCTGAACAGACTCCGATAGGTAAGTGACAAACTCTTCTTATCAATTTTTACGTGTAAATAACTAATCGTCATATCAACAATAGTAAAAAGTTGTTGTTCATGAAACTGACTACTTATTTCATCTGCAATAGTAATGAGGAAATGGTTATCCTGCGAATTAATAAATAGTAACTGCAAAATTAGATCTTTAATACATTTGTATTTGATAGGGAAGATGTAAATTGTGTTGTCCAAAGATAAGTCAATATAGAAACTATCAGAATGATGACGCACGGAATATGGCGATAGACGTAATTAAAATATTTTGAGATTTTAATTCTCAATATCTTGTTTAATTGAATTTTAAAGATCACATTATCCCCAGAATTATTACCCTTTTAAAACGGTAATCACCTTAGCATTTTTAATGAATCTAAATTTGGCCGAACTTAATTTTTGAATTTTTATAATAGTTAGCGATTGTTGTATTGAAGTTCAATTGCTTTTGATCATATCTGCTCTTTTCTGGAATACATGTATGTTTTTGAATGAAGCTATAAAGTACATTTATTTTTTTCATAATTAATATCTTTTTCGTTATATTACATTCAAGAAAACGTTTTAACAGTTTAAATTGTAGACTGCTGAAATTAACCCTACAAATTCCGATGAACACTTTAAGAAATAAAAAAAGACACATTTCCAGTCAGAATATTGATCTCGTTAAATGACAGTGAAAGATTTTTAACGTCCAGCAAAAATAGTTTGGATATCTCTAAGTTGTTCCCTGTATATAAAAAACCAGAAATAAGAAAATATGTCTGTAAAGCTATCTTGCAATTTAAGATGTCTCGTTTACAATAAACAACTTTCCAAAATTAACGGTAAATAACTACAATATTCAAGAAAATCGGCATCTTCATTTGAAACATAAATTATTCGAAGTAACATAAAATTTGTAATGATGTTAAGGGGGGGAAATTGCTGTACTTTTCTCGTATGTTTATCTAAATTTTTATTTTTTGTTCTAATTATTGAAACGACATAGTACCTATATTAATTTTTTTTTAAATAACTCAATATATTTCTTAATAATATGTTAGAGTGCAACAACCTGGATTTCAAAATACGTCATAATTACTATCGATTAGTGCAAAACAAGTTCTTAATATTCCCCGATTTTCTAATGATCTTTATCACTTAAACCTAATTAAGTCTAGTTTGTTACCTATATAAACCAAATTAGAAAAGCAATTGTGACTCAGTATACACTGCCTTAAAATGAGATACATCGTAAGTAAACAATTTTTTTTTTAATTATTAAATAATTTTTTTTTGTTTTCAGATCTTATTCGCATTTTTTTCCAACATCTTTTGCTTAATAGCAAGCTACAGCCATGGTATTTCCATTGGAGCTGGCATAGGTCTTCAAAAAACAGGTGTTCACCATAAACATCATGACCATAGCGGTTTTGTTGGTTTGAATAAGGAATTCCATATCGGCGGTGGATATCATAGCGGTGGTCATCATAGCGGTAGTTATGACAGTGGTCATTTTGATGGTCATCATGGTGGTAGTTATCATAATGGAGGTCATCATGGCAGTGATCATCATAGCGACTATCACAACAATCATCACGATACTGGATATCAAGGGGGATATCATAGTGATAGCCACCATGGTAGTCATGGCGGCTATCATGGCGAAAGCCATCACCACACTCATAGCAGTTATTAATCTGCATGGTTTTAGTTATCTACAAAAACAGGCGACATATATTTTGAAGAAGGATACTAAAGTTACCATTACTTTTGAAATGATTCAATAAAATAAATAAAATTTAAAGAAATATAAAATGAAGTGTTATTTATAAAATGTGTGTTTTACGAGTTTCGTCAAAATCTCTTCCACAAACTTACGTTTATATTTTGTTGCACAATTTTTTCTGTATAGTTAATTCTCCGTTAAAGGAGGAGTTTAAAAGTTGAAAGCACCTCGGCGAAACTTTAAAAGAGTTTGAAATTAAAAAGAATTTTAAAACTACTTTCCTGAATGGGCTAAAAATCGTGGCATGAAATGAACCTAACTTTTCTCGTATTACAAAACTACAAAGAATTATCAATGCCAAAACGAAGTGTTTCCAAGAATCGTGCATTAATAAAATGTTTGGTAAAAGTGTTCTGGTTTTTTAAAAGTCAGGCGTGGAATAATGGTAATTTTTAAAAAGTAGTTCAGTAGTAGTTATTCAAAAAAGAAAGCACACTATCTTGGGACACCTATGTGTAATGAGAAAGCGGAAAGTTTTCTATAATTAAGCAAGGCATAAGACAGAGAGAACGGATTACACAATCAACATTGATTATAATAAGACAGAGAGACACAATCTCATGCTTACTCTTTAATCTTGCACTGGAAAAGGCAATCCAAGAAATTGAAATAAAAAGGGGCAACACCATCTACAAAACAAAAAAACAACTAATAATACCGCAAAAAACAGAGGACGAACGACAACAACCAGAAGAAACAACACGACGTGGCCACCACCAACCACCCAAGAAACAAAACAATGCAAACAAGCAAATACGGCTTCGAACAAGTCGATAGTTTTGTGTACCTTGGATCTCTCGTGAACACTATCAATAAATGTAGGGATGAAATCAAACGACGCATCAATATCGCAACTAAGTCTTCATGGTCTTCAGAGACACTTCTGCTCACGAGTCTTCACGCGCAAGGCAAAGATAAGAGTATACAAGACAATATTGACAAAAATAGATATAAGATAAAGATAGACAAAAGTATGATTGAAAGTGTAGCGATCTTTGTATCATTATTTTGACAAGGTCTTTAGTTTACTGGCATGAGTATGTTTCAGCCAATGCAAACAATTGTTTACGTTAAGAGTGTTCAAAGCGAAGAGTTTAAAGTCTCAGACAAAAGAAAAGAGCAGTTAGTTCATGATAGAGTGGAGAAGTTCGGCGGAAGAAGCTGAGAGTTAACAGTGAGCTTTTGGTCAAGAGTCCAATGGCGAATTTCCAAGACCAGAGATGAGTTCAGACAAGTAGTTTACTGGAATGAGTAAACCAAGGAGACAGTTGGTAGTCTGGTCCAGATGTAGAGTAGGCAGAATAGTCAAGAAGTGAGAATTTTGATTAAGAGTGGTAACCAATTACTTATACAAAATAATTTATATTAAATTTGATAACATCAGAATTACAAAACATATTTTTCATATTTGACAATAGGCAGTTATTGTTACCTATTATTTTATTTGATTATAAAAATAAAGAATTAATATAGAAAAATTCTTTTTATATATAATAGATAATTTTATATTAATATAAAGATTTTTAATCTTTATTATGAGCAATTTTTATAATTAATCCCAATAACAGACCCATGGATAAGATTGAAACTAAAACAATCTTACGTTTTTTAGCTTTCTTAGAAGGAATCACCTATAACATAAATTATTAATTCACAATTAAAATAAAATTGCTTCAAAATAACCTTTTTCTTTAAACAAACACCATCTTTCTTAATATTATTAACACAGTTTCTTAAAGCCAACGAACTATCACTTAAGGGTACATTATAGAGGATTACATCATCTCTATAAGTTGATAAAACCAAATTATTATAATGAAAATGTAATTGTTTATTTACACCTTCTAAAACTTCTTTAATGTAGTCGTTATTTATAATCAAGGATTCTTTCCCTCTGTAAAAAATAATTATTTAATATAAATTTTTGTATGAATAAAGATATTTTATTTTTACTTACGGCGTTTTTATAATTAAAGCCTGGCAATGTTCAATAAGTCTTTTTCTAGTAACAATATCATCAATTCCCATTATTTCTAAATCATCTTCCCCCAACAATTTTAAACAATCTGAATTGATATTGTATCGTTTAAAAGTGTCGATGTAACGTTCAGCTTCTACAGCTCTTAAAACTACCTCAACTAAATCCATTTTTATTATTGCATATTATGAGAAAAACATGAGATTAATTTTAAAATTATTTTAGACAAATTGAGGTTATGTTTATGTTTTTTTGAAAAAAGGAAACTGTTTTACCGACATTTATAAAGTTTATTTTGAATTTGATACAATTTTATTTAAAGATAGTTTTTTCTTTTTTTAATTAGTTAATTGCAACATTATAATAAAACTGTGATTAATTTGGAATTAATATAATCAAATTTCAATATGATTCAAATTTCGTTTAAACATATTAGTTTATTTGAAGTTCGAAATTAATTTCACCTATATTTTTTTCTTTATCTTCTTCTAACTCTTCATTTGCACCTAACTCTTCATTTGTACCTAACTCTTCATTTGTACTTAACTCTTCATTTGTACCTAACTCTTCATTTGTACTTAACTCTTCATTTGTACCTAACTCTTCATTTTCAACAAATGTGTTACAAGATGGTACATTATGGGGTCGGTCGCAAACTTTTATTTCAGGATTAAATACTAAAGTTTCACCGCATTGTAAATGAGTAGAGCTTCCATTCGAACATTGATAAAAAAACTTGCAATCTTTTTCATCTGGATAATAAGTAGGGTTTTTTTCTGATGTTGGACATTTGAAAGCTATAATTTTTTAGGCATTATACTAAGAAATTCTATTATTTTAAGTTAAAATTCTTACCCGAACTGGTAACTAAAATTATGCTAAATATAAGAAGATCTAAATAAAATTAAACAAATGTTAGATTTAATGATATTTTTTAACACTAAATAGCTTACGTTTCATTTTTGAAGATGTCTCAGAAGGAAATGATGAAATTATTGGTGAAATTCTCTATCTGAAGTGATGACTATCTCAAAAAATTCTAATCCAACTACTGGATAAGTATTTTTGAAATTGAAGTCAAAGTAAATATTGATTTAATAAATTGATAAGTAATATAGTTTTTATTTTTCTTTCATTTTTAAAACAATTGACCCTATTTTTTAATTTCCTGGAAATTCAAACAATAACGTATAAAGTCTTTCTTATCTTATTTGCTTATATTCGATTTTTACAAAAAATTCATCTATAAATACGAAGCTCAGAATGTAGATAAATCGGTATAAAATAAAATTATCAAGCAATAAGTAAATTTAATTCTACTATATACCATGAAAAGTGAGTAGAAAAATTTATAAAATTTACCAAAAAAATATTCTATTTTATATATTACTTTTTAGTCCAAACTTTTTACATATTTTTCATCTTAATAACTTTAAATTACGCATCAGGTATGATTAAAAAGTTTAAATTAAGTTATAACAATTAATTACGATTTAAACCAAGATTATTTGTAGATATTAAATGTCCTCCTAACGAAACTTTGCAACCAACCTTCTTCAAATACTCAGACTGTTCTACATGTTTTTATGTGTGTTCCAATTGGACACCAATCAAAATGGTATGCGGAGGAAATTTGGTATTTAACCCACAATTATTCGTCTGTGATTATCCTCGAAATATTAAAGGATGTTACAATAATACTATAACTTCTAATTGTTAATTAAAGATTTTATTTGTTAAATTATGTTATTAAACATAATAAAATTGTGTGATTTTGTAAAACATGGCTTGATCCTATATAATTTTTATTAAACTTAATAGGTTTTGTTCGATGTTTAAAATTTGCCACATTTGATCTCATTGTGGCAAATTCTCAGCGGCTCAGTAATGTTGAAGCTAAACTTGAAATTAAATAATGCTTCAACCAAAGTGTGCTCTTTTGAGATGCCGGCATGTTGAATATTTGTGGCACTATGATAAACATGAGAAGAACTTGAGCATCACACGTTTCTTATACATTTTGCAAAAGAAATTAAGAAGATAGAAGTAATTTGCCTAATAATGGTCTGGATGTTGCGGAGTCAACCTTTCCGTCAGATAACAACTTCGACCATACTAGATAGTTGTCTAAACAAAGAGCTGATAGTGCCAAAATAGTTTGAACCCATGAAAATATTGAGATTATTCGACAAGCCATGTTAACAAGTCCATGCCGATCGACTACCCGCCATGCCACAGGACTTGGAATAACTAATACATCAATAAAAAGAATTTTCCATTAAGATCGTGGATCATCCTTACAAAGTAAAGCTCGTGCAATGCCTTGATTCGGATGATAATGAATAACGAATCCGAATTTGAGAGGTTATGCTTGCCAGACTGGAAGAAAATGATGGAAGAAATCACGCCTGGAATAGCTGTTTGCATTCACTTCAGACCGAGATGGATGACGTGAAGTTGTGAAGCAGGCTAAGGCTTATCCCGAGCTGTAACGCCGAAGAAAGAAAGAAAGAAGAAATGTTATGATGTCTTGGTGTTTTGGGGTTGATCTCCATTAGTAATAGTAACGTCGCTGGTTGAATTCTGGTTTTATGTGTCCCGAACTGTATATTTGTTAACATCTTCAAGTCTTTATTAATTATGTATACCTACACTATAGTAGTAGTTTAGTTATAACAAAGATTTTACATTTAATTAAGATATTCTTGTATCGAAATGTCATTAATCAGACTAATTAACTGCGTCATTCTGATATCATGTTGGCATATAAATAGAAAATACAAAGAAAAAATCACTCAAATAAATATTTTTAGATGCGCAATTTATAAAAATAATCAATAAAAATCAAGTGCTAATCAAGTGATTTTATTATTAGATATATTTGTTGTTCTTAAAATATGTAAGCTGCGTCATGTATCTTGTGTTAAATCTTGTTTTGTACATGATATGAAGAAATGACTTATTTTTATTTGATTTCATTACCTTAATTACATTAATAATCGAAATACTTCAATTTATTTTAAATAATTATCCTGAGATCATCAATATTTTAATTTTATCCACTTATGATAAAATCGTTTTGAACAACCTATAAATGAAAAAATTTGCTTTTTTGGACCATAGTTCAAGAAGTATTTCTAAGAAAATTATCATCGTTTCTAAGAGATGAAATGTAAGTATACAGATAAGCAGAATAAATTTATAAGTAATATATTAATATTTTTAGATTCAATAATATTCCTTGTAGCCCTTTTAGCGACATGTTACGGTATTGATTAATATTTTTTAATTTGTATAATTATTTATAAATACATTTTTAGCTGATATGACATGTCCTAATCCAGAAGAAACCCCAACTTATTATGCAGATCCAGAAAGTTGCAGATACTTTTATGAATGTTCCAATGGAGAAGCAGAAAAATTAGATTGCGGTGAATGTTTGGTATTTAACGAAGCTGAAAACGTTTGCGATTTTCCAAGTAATGTTGAAAGATGTAATTCTCAAGCGGATTGTGATCCAGATCCAGAAGAAACTGTAGGTTTTATTGAATTACAATAAATCGATCTTTATATTATCTTTATCTTTGACATTATATTCAATATTTTTGGTGTGATTTGGGGAAAAAATAAAATTGCATTTAAAACATAAATAAAATTTATTTTTGTTTTCTTCTTATAAAAATTAATAATTTGAATGGAGATTATTATATAACAGTAGTGTAATGACCCTTACAATAAACTACAAGAAAAAATAAAAGAAATTAATACCTAAGAGAAAAATTAAAAAAAAAATTTATTTTTACCTATAAATTCTGAAACAGGATCGTTTTCACCATCACCACGCATAGTTCCTGTTATTTCATCGTTTTCAACCATTGGCATAAATAAATTTACAAACTCTGAACTGTATGGGGGTGCAACAGCCTCCAAAACCTTTAAAACAAGTTGTTAAACATGACTAAATATTTATAAATTTCTTTGTAGACGAAATAAAATTTGTTTTGAATGTTAATCTTGAAAGAAATGTATTTTAAAACACTCTTATTTCTTACCTCAGTAACAAAATATCTGATTAAAGAAATATCAGTATCACCTTTTTGCCAACATTGCTTAATGTATTTAACTACGGGAACAACGCAACCTGAACAAAGTAGATTTACCATTCGGTCTAGAACCATTTTACGCATTTCCAACTACAACAAAAAAGGTGTAAAAATTAGCGGAAAAGCTAAGAAAGTTATGAAAATTTATTTTAAGTAATAATTCAATATTAAGATTATAATATTTAGCATTTCTGGAATATAATATTCTCAGTAGATTAACTGTCTTCTATTTAATGCCAACTTTTGGTTCCCACAAATGCTATTCCAGCGATGTTAATATGATCTGGAACGCAAATTAGCGAGATTCTGCGTAGATTCTCAAATGTGTTTAATATCTCTGCCGTAGTCATCAACCAGAGCCGATAACATTTTCATGATTTGTAGAGCCACAACAGCGACCTGACAATTTCTCAACTCTAGAAAGGTAGAATGATCATCAAACCGCAAATTAATATGGTGTTATCTGCTTCGATAACGAGGTTGTAATTGAAATGTATATTCACGTCCGAAGAGAAGATAGAAGACGCTCGAAATATTGAAATCTACGACGATTAATAGAAGGGAACCGATTGCGCAAGTTTTAGAATTTTTAATGAAAATTACTGAAAGGGACAAACAAAAAATCGTGTATATCCATCGTATCAACAGTTACAAATATATAATGTTGTAGTTGTTACAAAAGAATTTCGGCAGGACAGAGTAAGTAATATACAATGTTTATAGAGTGCGCGTATCAAGATTAAAATTGTAGTAAAAGTAACAAATAAAAATAAATTCAGCATGACGAGATACAAACTTAATCGCAACATTTTCCCTCGAAGGAAGTCGAAATGTCATAAATGGCGATCTTCAATTTGACGCTCTCTGCAGCCATCCATTTGATTCTCTTAATATCTGCGAAACATTTGGATCAAAAGAATTAAATAAAGGAAAATAAAACTACAAAAAAGTCCATAGAATTTGATGAACAAGTTTTCTCTGTTTTGGCGACCTCACACAAGCGTTCGACAATGTGAAGTTACCTTGTAAGTTCGGTAAACGACCAGACTATAGAACAGGTAATGTTATTTAACTATCTCGGAATAGCAATAGAGATTTTCATAAACGGAGCGCGTAATCGAATAAAGCCGCAAGGATATCTGATAATGAAGGTCGCACACTTTTAGAATAAGGACTGACAAAATACGGCAGACGAGAGATGTCGTTCGGTAGACGCGACACAGACGATGTTAATGGATTCCATATATCGATAGGATGGGCGAGAACAGATTAGAAAAGATGGCTGACGTAAGGAAGCCACATAGCAGCAAAGATCACCGGTTATACATCCCAAATGATTGGGTTTGAACAGAACGAACAAAAATGGTGGTATAGAACGGGAAAGTTCCTATTAACAGAAAGAAAAATAAGAACGTAATAAACAATACTTGGAAAGCTTTTCATCTGAATTATTGGTATATACAATGATAAAACTTTCTTAATCTAGGTAAAGCTATATTTATTCAATAGACATAAAACTAACACTATGTTTCTGGTGTGAGCTTTCTTAGATTTAAGGAGGTCAAATAAAATATTATTCACAGAGATTTATGTTTTGAACAATTACGATCAGAAAAAAAATGCGCTTAGCTAAATCTTTAATAAGTACAGTATGTACATCGCAGTTTGCTGCATTATCAGGAAGACGTTAATGAAAACTTTTAAGGTGCCGGGTTACTTAACTAAGTTTGTAGGCTTTTTCAATTAACATATTCTCTTGTAGAGTTCTAATACATCTATTGCCAAAATAGTAGCAATAATCTTGCTTTGGCATGTAGTAATAGTTCGTCCCTTTGTTGCACTTGTGTTGCACAGATGTATTTTTATTAATGTGTTATGGTGATTGTTTTGACAACGCTGAGTAATTGACAATAGTAAATATAATATGGTTTAGAGGTTGAAAATTGGAAAATATCTGACCATAAAAAACTAATCAACATAATCTGCAATATATTTTTCGTTTGTCCACATATATGATTGACACCTCACATTGTTTTGTCCATTTACCTGCCAAAGTATCAATAGAATTTAATAATCCCGCCTTTTTCTGTTTCGTCGACTTTACTAAAGCCTTTGATCAAGTTAAGAAATAGGAGGTCAATCAGATCCTGATCGACGAATTGGCTTACTAAAATAGTCTTCATCTATTAATGGAGGTGCATTTTTCAGGTTCCGGAAGTTTCGTGTGCTTACAACAGGACACCAACCATGAACCTACTGCAGATGATTTTTTTTCAGCCGAAGAAATCTGCAGGGAGGAAAAAATACGGTGGGCCATCAACAGCTTCTCGCCGTTCAAAACACCAGGACTAGACGGTATTATACCAGCCCTTTTACAATGGGGTTGGGAGGATTTAGTACCTCACCTAGTGGAAATTTTCCAGGCATGCCTGGCGCTGTGCTATATACCCAGTCCGTGGCGTGAGGTCACAGTGAACTTAATACCAAAACCGGGTAAGCTTGATTATTTCACACCAAAATCGTTTAGACCAATCAGTCTCTCCTCCTTTCTTTTGCTCCTCTGGAAAGACTGTGCGATCGCTACATTAGAGATTTCTGTCTTCTAAACCAGTAAATCCTAATTAACACGCTTACACTCAGGGCAAGTCCACACTAACGGCTCTTCACTCAGTGACCAGCAAGTTGTTGGTGGAGCGCTGGACCTAAAGGAGTCCGCCCTGGGTGTTTTCATAGATATAGAGGGAGCTTTTGATAAAACAACTTTCTCTGGTATTAACGATGCCTTGTTAGAGCATAATGTTCCACCGACTCTTTGTGGTTGGACTGGCAATGTCAGCCTCCAAGGAGGTGTTACTCGAGGCTGTCCACAAGGGGGTGTACTAACCCCACTTTTGTGGAACCTCACCCTGGGTAGCCTCTTGAACCGCCTCGCTGAAACCAACTTTACTACAGTTGGTTACGCAGATGATTTAACCATTCTCGTCAAAGGCAAGTACATAAACGTGCTTTTTGATAGGATGCAAGTAACTCTCAAATTGATAGAGACTTGGTGTAACGAACAAACACTCTCTGTAAATCCTAAGAAGACAGAGTTGATTCTTTTCATACGGATGAGGAAGTTTGGCAAGCTCAGAATGCCATCCCTTGCTAACACTCCATTGGTGTTGTCAAAAGAGGTCAAATATCTGGGCATCACACTTGACAACAAATTGACATAGAGAGCCCACCTAGATAATAGAGTAAAAAAAGCGTACGTTGCTTACGTTTGCTCTGGATTTATACGGATTTATTGTTATGGATTTATAAAAAATCCATAACATCATAGAATATTCTTCGACAACTTTTTTTCGTCATACTCTCTTTTCGGTATTTTGAAAGAAAAAGGTTTTTTTGTAACGGGAACAGTGCGAGATAATCGGCTGGCAAACTGTCCAATCGAAACAAAGAAAGTTATGAAGAAAAAACAACGAGGTTCGTATATTTGTGTATTTGATCCCAGTTTGGAAGTATTAGTGGTACAGTGGACAATTCGGACGTCACAGTAATTACCAATTGTTGTAAAGTACTCCCTCTTGCCCAGGCTACACGGTATAACAGAAAAGAACATAAAGAAGAAACAATTCCACAACACCACGTAATAGCAGATTATAATAAATAGATGGGAGGAGTTGATCTTCACGACAATGGCATTGCTAATTACAGAATCAAAATAAGATGGAAAAATGGTGGTGGTCATTGTTTATCAACATGATAGATAGCGCAGTAGTCAACAGCTGGAAAATTTTTAAAATGGCAAACAGATCTAAAATGTCTCAATTACATTTTCGCTCCTCATTGGCTATAAGTTTGATGAAATTCGAAGGCCAATCTGAATTAACAAATGTTAACCCTTCTTCTTCTCATGGTAGAACATCAAGGCAAAGTTTACCGCAAGAGATAAGAGTCGACAACATAGAGCATATAATAAAACAATCGGAAGCCAATTTGAGAAAAAAGTGCAAAATCTGCAAAAGCCATACAATATACTTTAGCAAAAAATTTAAAGTACATCTGCACGCTGATTGTTTTGAATACTTTCATATTAATGTATAATTTTAGTTATTAAATTACTCTTATTTTCCAAAGTTTGAAAAAATATTTTTTTTCTAAATAACAGGATTATTTGCCAAAGGTGTGTATACGCACCCCCATTTATTTGCAGCATAATTGATTTTTTTTTTAAACATACTTCAAAATTATCTTATTTACAATAGTTTAAGAAATATTCAATCAATTTTTAAAAATAAAAACGGATTTTTGTGGTAGTGGCTATAAATGGTTTAAGATTTCCATTGCTACTTTGTTTAAAGATGTAGTATAGACAGCCATATCTCTTCGTGCTTTTAAAGGTGATAGAATTGTTTTTACTTCTAAAACTGGGTATTCACTTTGTAGTTGATCATTCAAATGTTGAAAATAGTCAACAACATGAGAAATGCAAGGTTGGGAAGTTTGTACATTTTTTAACCCTTTCGTTACGGAGTATTTTCAAGATCATATAGCAAGCCCACATATACAAAAACGTATGCGTACGCTCTTAATAACGAAATGGTTAAAATTATTGAAATGGGGTTTAAAATTTTATATTATGTATCAAGTTTCCCCCAGAATATATCGCTTAAAGTGTTACGTTTAATATTATCGTCTAGAATATTTGTTTCTGTTATAACAAACTCTTTTAAGTTTCTTACAGGGACTTTACAGCATTATCAAATCACCAAGAGCGCATGCGCAGATACATCCTAGCTCCCAACAGTAATTTATGAAAAATTTGTTTGGTAATTTACAGTAAATTACTAAATATTTTAATGTAAATGTAAATATTTTTTGTAAATATTTAACAGTTAATAAATTATACTAAATTTTTTTAAAACTATTCTATCATTTCATAGAATATCTAAATAATACATGAAAAATCGTTTCCTTTAATACTACCTTTATGTCAGAAGAAACCAAATACCTAGAATGAACAAAAGAACAAAGAAAAATTGCAATTGATCTAAGTGTTATTAGGTTATCATTAAAATCTTTACTAAATTATTAACATTTTCCATTCAGTAGAAAATAATAAATTCATTTAATTTAATTTCAATACTTACTTGAACAAGAATTTCAAGTTCATCTTGTTTTGATTCAAACAATCTTACTAATAAATCTAATACTTGAGTGTGTAAAAGTGGATGTAAAGTAGCCACTTCGTCCAACAAAGCCAGATGAATGGGTGTATGTTCTGTTGATAATTTAAAATAACTTGGTTCAGTTACTGTGCACTCAACCCATCTGATAACACCAACAGAAACAACAGGATATCTACAAAAAAAAGCAAATCCCCAAAGAATGATTTTTCATTTCCTTATTTTTTATCCACTTACTTTAAACATTGATATAAATTATTTAAATCACCAATTAATTCCGAACTACCTTTATTAACATTACAAATTTTATGTACCGTTTCAACAGCTTGAATCGTCGCTTTTAATTCGTCTTTATTCCAAGATCGTTTTTGTCCCTTTTTGGCTTGAACTTCACAAACACTTGCTGCATAAGCTAATAAATGAATATATTTCGGTTTGTGATCAGGGTTTAATTTAATGCCCGGTTTAAATAAAGCATCTACAAGTAATTCTAAAAATTGAGGTGTTCTTATTAAATCCATCGGAGGTGGATCTTGCGAATTATAATTTTTAAATAAAACTGTTATATCAGCAGGATTAAGTGTGTTTTTCGATAACATAGAAGTTAAAGCTTGACAAGCTGAAGGATATGCAGCTGCACCATTTAATGCCATTGTAATTGGAGTTACATCATGACCACTAAAAAAATATTATTAAAATCAATTTGATTGAGTTAATTTTTAGATTGATAAATACTTTTTTTGTGCACATCTTGTGATTTCTTGTGAAAGTCTTTTCATACTACTTCCCCCTTTATGTTCTCTAGCCAAAACATTAATAACAACTTGACTATAAACATAGGTATGTTGTCCATGACAAACCATTTTCTAAAAATAAAAATAATTTAAATTTAATTTTTTAAAAAAATAAAAATCTTACAGCGCATTCTTTAGTGGTGTTTTGCCATTCTTCAGGGTTTGCTAAAAAGCTGGTTATTGAAGTTTTTAAAACTCTTGAAAATACTTCAAGTTGTTGAGCAGCAGTAGAAATGCTTGTAATTTCTCCTTGAAACCCAGCATCTGATATTAATTTAATTGTAAAATTTAACATTAAACAATCAGGATATTCTTCTGCAAGTCTATAAATTAATGATCTCCATGTGGGATGTTCAATTAACTCAGTTAACCAAGCAGGAGTTTCACCCTCCTCTGTAAAAATAGTATCCGCTTTCTTTGGATCAAAAGTTTTCAAAATCATCTCTTTTAAATGATTCTCAACCATAGCCTGGACATCTGTCACTTTAACACCTCCTATAATTAACCACTCCGCAATTAAATTGGCCATTTGAGCAACGGCTGTGTAATTGTGAGATAATTGTTCAATGACTTGAACTGGGTTACCACCCGATTGAAAATAACGTTTTAATTGGGAAAATATACCAGGTTCCATTATATAATCGGGAGTAGAAAATTTTTCCGCGCATTCTGCTAAGACTAGTTCAGGATTTTCTAAATTATCATCACAACCTTCCGACTAAAAATGAAATAAATAAAAATATTTTTCTAGATTTTAGTTATTACCTCTTCATCCATAACATCACCACCGTCCCAATGACGCTCTTCGTAATCTTCCTCCATTATTTTTTTGATATTCTTGCTTAAAAAAGTAAAACATAAATCCGATGATATAAAGAGGTTAATTAACTGTCATGTTTACGTGTGAAGTTAGGTTCAAATACGTTGAAAAATAAAAATATTTAATTAAATAAGTTTTAACTGATTTTTTGTTGTTATTAAAAATTTGATTTAAACCTAATTTATTATGTTTAAAGTTATAATTGATTAAATTTATTATAAATGTAACACTTTTATAAACAACTGTGAAGTTCGTTCAATTCATTTTTAAGATTTGAGGTTAGGAGAGGTTATGTTGTAAGTTATAAAAATGAGTGTTCTTCCAATTGTTATTGAATTTGGGTAAGATAGAATGCTTATAAGGTGATTATTATTATTGATAATAAATATCTGTTGAAGGGGTGGAGCTGAATTATTGTTTGATAATAAAAAGAAACATACCGTGGAGTTACCGGCGAAAGATAAAAGTTGTAAGTATTATAGATAGAATAAATTATTATTTTAAAATGATTATTTGATGTTATAGGGATAATTGGCGATTTGTTATTTTGGATTAAAGATAATCTTTTGAAGGAAAGACCTGAATTATTTCTTCAAGATGACTCAGTGTAGGTCTTTCGAAAATATGGGGTATTGATTTTATTGATTGTATACTTTTTAATTTTTTAGACGACCTGGAATATTAGTGTTGGTAAATGATGTGGATTGGGAAATCATGGTAATGGAGAACAGTAAAATGCTAGGTTTCAAAATCAAATAAAATCCTTTTTTTTATTTCAGGATACAGTTAATTATAAGATAGAACCAAACGATAGGATAGTTTTTATATCAACACTTCATGGAGGTTAAATTTATCTCATTTTTAAAAATTCTTTTTTATTTACAATACAAAAGAAATTGCTTTTGAAACATGTATTTATTTCGAAAACGTTTTCCTAATACATATTCCATTATTACTCCCCATAAATATAGATTCGAATGTACCTTATTGCACATTTTAAAGTACCCCACACGTAAAGGTACAAAATCTAACTCAAGATTGGTCGATTCAGAGTATAAGCTTACGAAACAAATATTTTACATATTAGGGTTAACTTTTATGCTACTCTACAGACAAGAAGGGGCCTAAAAACCCAGCGTAATGAGGTCGTTTATATGGAGATCCTGTCGCGCGACCCGGCGTGGATCGAAATGGGGGAAAACACCGAGTTCTTCCCTATCTTGACAGTTCAAACCGCGTTCTGACCACTTTTGATTGAGAACTACGTTAAAATTTTTAAAATGTTCGTAGGTTGTAAAAGATAACGTCTAAAAAAGTTGATTTGTGTGCAAGTTTTTAGATATTCTTTGTTGCTTTATACTTTTTAAAAGAAATTTTGTTGTAAATAGGTATTTTTATTGTGATGGAGAGTTTGTTCATGTAATTTAACTTTCATATTTTTTTATTTTTAATTGAATATAACAAAGTATAACAATTTAACAAAGACAAATTTAATAAATGTTTTTGGTTTTTCAGTAAGTGGGTTTTCAAAGTGGAAAAGGGAAAGTGGGAGCCCTACATAAGTCGTACTTTACTTCTGTTGAACAGACGGTCTAATGGTTTATACTGGATACGATCTTATTGTAGGCGATGAATCATCTTTTTCACAAACCGAAATGCTGCAAAAAGAAAATACTTTAAAAGAAAGGACTTAATGATCCTTTAACAAGGTTGGAAATATAAACTGCAACCAATAGAATAATAAAGCTAGTCCAAACAATTACTATTAATTATGAAGGTATTATAAGCATGCGTTGTAGACTTAATCTTATAGGAAAAGACATTTTATTGTGTCTATAGAATGTATCAAAAAAATGTACTCACACTTCGAATGACGAGAAAAGCATTATTTATGAACATAGAGTAAAGTGGAATGGCTTCGAATACAGAAGACAAATGTGATTGAAGAATCATGTTCGCAAATGTTCAAATTAATGACCATTATTGTCCAGACAACGTTGATAACGTGCACCAAGGGATTCGTAAACGTTACGAATCAGGTCATTAGGAATCCATCCACGTCCATGGACGTGAGGTCTGGGGAACGCGCAGGGTATTCAATAGTACCCCTTCGTCTAATCCATGTGTCTGGAACAGCTGCATTGAGGTAAGCTCGTACCTCGCGATGGTAGTGGGGAGGTGCTCCATCTTGCTGAAAGTAAATCTCGTCGTCATCACCAAACATCTCTGAAATTTGTGGACCAACTAACTCCTAACTCTCCAGTACGTGCAATTATGGCGATTAATGAAGCCATTTAATTTAAAGGACGCCCCATCGCTCCACACAATTTGGGTGGAAACCCTGCATCTTCTGCACATTTTGCCAGGTACCATTCACAGAATTGAACTCTCCGGTCAGGATCGTCTTTGTTGAGAGCATGGATTACAATTGGAATGTGGCATATTCAGTGCAGATGCTATCTTTTGAGATGTGGGTTTCCCGAACAGTTTGTCGAAGAGGTGATGATCGAAGGAGTGTTTCCTGCGCCTGCTCTTCTATTCCAGGGCTCGTGGATGTCCGTGGTCGTCGAGAACGTTTCTTGTTGACGTTCTGGTTCGATCTGCAAATTTGTCTCGCGTATACTGATACGAGCAATAGTCCGTCGCGTTGGTGGCGGTTTTGCGAATTCCCTTCTGAATCGTCTTTGCACTTCAAACTTCCTCTCTTCGAAACTAAGGTTGATTTCCTGCCATGCTGTGATTAATTAATTATACCTGCAATACAAAAAGGCAGCATGTTAGCGACAGTTAAAGTGTGAGTACATTTTTTGAGGCACCTGTGGATTGATCTTCGAGAACATCATAGCAAAATTCAATGTGTATAACAGTTGCAGGACAAAATTTAGCTAAGGATATAGTAAGATTATGCGTAACATGTTTTAAATACAATTCTAAAATGGAAAGGGTAAATGCTTACCAAAGCGACATATTGGGAACCACTTACATTAATTAAACGTTTATCTCGAGAGCGTTTATCTTCCGATGAAGCTAACTTGGAGAAGTACATGTTTTCGTGTCAGCGAACCTATTTTACGAACTTTAGTAAAATACCCGGTGTTGTTCGCTTGGTTATTTGATCTATATGATCATTGTTCAGTATGGAATTACTGTACGGTAAATGTGTATCTAATACTCGAGAATCACGTCGTTGATATTTATCAATATTTTCACAAAGAACAAACTTTCGCACAATTGTTCAAAAACTACGTGATTCTGGGAGACTTCCTCAATTTCAAGGTCGTTTCCGTGTAAAGTCACAACACTTTTTGAAAGTCGAAGAAAATGTAGTGAATGCGAACGATGAAAGTGCCAACAGCTTGCACTCGCTGTTGGAAAACAGCTTGTATAGAGACTGCAAGTATTAAATGTTCGTGATTTGCAACCTCTCATCCAATTTTGACAACAGTTTCGGGATCAGCCAACCCAATTTCACTAGTAAAGTGCTGTTTATAGTTGAATGTTTTGTACTAGAAAAGGGATTTTAAATTTAGCATGGCAGCCATTATTGTGAGGATGCAAATCCCCATGTTGTTAATCAAACAAAATTCCAACAACCATTTTTTAAGAATGTATAACTAAGAGGAAGTATGGCGTCCGACTCAAAAACAGGACTATGTAGTAATTTATGAAGAATACCATCGTCTTTTTATAGATTTAAAAAATAACGAAAGAAGGTTTTTTGAATCTGATGCATCACCGGTATCTACTAGAATGTCCATACGAACATTTGATTATATACTCCAAAATGCATACAATTGTTTGACGAACAGAAGGCTGAATCTTCAACAGCACGTGATACTAAAAGAGAAACTAATTGTAATACTTAGGTGTGTAATAAAAGACAACGGTTCAATTTCTATACTGAGAGATAAGCAAAATCGCTAGTACTACTTAGAGCTGTTTGAGTGTTTATGTTTTTGGTACTACTTAGGTTATTGTTTAGGTCTCCTTGGATTTATGGCTCTTTCAACCTCGTGCACTTTAATATATTAACGCAGAGCTCAAATTTTTCTAAGCCATCCGAACGTTTAAGGAAAGGCAGTACACTTAAAAAGAAATACGATCTTGTCTTTTTTTTCAAGTTTAATATAGCAATGATCTTTCTTTCTTCCAACTAAATAAAAATTCTTTTTTATATATGGTCTTTTTTTCAAGAAATCTCTTAGCATCTTGGTCAGCAATTTCTTTATCTGCAGAATAGTAGTTTGGGGGTTAACACCTCAAAGTATACAGCGTGTCCCGTATCTTCCGCATCAGAGCATTATACGGTTGTAGAATACATTATTCTGAAGCGATCTTTCTAATAAAATTTTTTCGAAATGTTTATAATAACCGCACGGGAACTGTTTAACGACGACCAATAACGGACAACTTTGATTCATCGAAAAAGTTTATTTCTCTTTCCATGACGAATTTATTGGTGAGTACACGTGGGAAACGAGTTATCATCGGCGTAGCGGACCGGCCGAGGGTGGCACCGATTACCTGAGTCTGATTTGCGATCTGCTGATTGGACGAAAAACAGTTCCTTTAAACAGTTTCCGTGCGGTTATTATAAACATTTCGAAAAAATTTTATTAGAAAGATCGCTTCAGAATAATGTATCCTACAACCGTATAATGCTCTGATGCGGAAGATACGGGACACGCTGTATATTGGACCATATAGTGTTACATTTAAAACTAGAAAACGATAAGAAATATAAACGAAGGTTAAGGACTAAAATTATTTTGTAACTAAACATGTATGGTAAGTTGAAAAGTATATAAAGTGTTTTCACATATTTATATTCGTAATCTTTAATGTTCTTTTTACGTTAATACATATAAAAAACTTTAGGTATAACGTTAATACTATGGTTATTTATTTGCAGATGCATGGTATAAGAGCAGATACATAGTACACCGACCCAAACTGAATATGACACCTTCCCCTTTATAGTTGCCAGAAGTGTTTGTGTTTTAATTTTACATTAAATTTGATAGTCGGAGGCCTTTTCCTGTTAATTTGTCTAAATGCTTCATGATATTCCAAGGTGTATGGCTTATTGTGTTTTAAGAACAGTTATATATCTTGTTCATAAAAGAATTTTTATTGGATTCAATATCTACCGCCAATAAGAAATTTTGTGCTAAATCACAGTTACAAAGCTTTTTATCAAGCCGTGTCAAGACTATATTATAATGTACGGAAAAATTATGGAATAAATTCAATAAAACGCCTATTATTATTTTGCAAAAACGGCGGAACAAGCCTGTTTTGGGTTTTCAAAACACACATTTTCAGCCCATATTCACTTCCCGATAGTCATTTGTTTTTAAGTTATGACGTCATTTTGCCGCACACTATAAGTTAGACAGTCTGAAGTATTTAAAATTGTTAATGATTCAAAAATTGCAGTGAATGGTCTGAACATGATTGGTTATTTGAAAGCAATTACTATTAATTGAAGCAAGAGATAAAATGACTATTGTTGTTACTAACATAATTTCACTAAATGTGTAATTGATTTGCCAAATCGATTCCATTAATAGTGACCTTTTAACATCTCGAATTGTTCTAGTAACATCATGTAAAAACCAACCCAACTACATAGTAATGTCGATCTCTTTCGAACCTAAAAGGAATGTGATGAGGATGAATCTAAGCCTCAAGGAGTTGGAAAATCCAGAAAATCACCTATTATACTTGAGATAATGCTTTCTTAAGCCTTTTAATCAATTAAAGTTGTGATTGGGCTTCTTTCATAGCAGATTTAAATTGAAAGATTTTGCTAATAGAAAGCTGGATGAATATGAAAAACTCACTATACTTGGAACAGATGGATTTTAAGTAATTTCATATCACT